TCCACGTCCGTCTACTCGACGTCCGCGTATTCGAGATCGTCCGTGAACTCGACGTTCTTCGTCGAGTACGTGTGTGTACTAGACGTCGGTCTAGCAGTTTCCAGCTTTTCCAGTCCAGAAAAGTCCAGCTTTCAAAACTTTTTCCAAGTCCAGCTTTCATAAATTTTTTCCAAGTCCAGATTTTCGAAAATTTTCTAAGTCCAGATTTTCGAAAATGTTTGTAAGTCCAGCTTTTCGAAATTTGTTCTAAGTCCAGCTTTCAGAAATTTTTCTAAGTCCAGATTTTCGAAAATTTTTCTAAGTCCAGATTTTCGAAAATTTTTTTAAGTCCAGCTTTTCGAAAATTATTCTAAGTCCAGCTTTCAGAAATTTTTCTAAGTCCAGCTTTCAGAAATTTTTTCTAAGTCCAGATTTTCGAAAATGTTTCTAAGTCCAGCTTTTCGAAATTTTTTCTAAGTCCAGATTTTCGAAAAATTTTCCTAAGTCCAGATTTTCGAAATTTTTCTAAGTCCAGCTTTCAGAAATTTTAACAAGTCCAGCGAGACGTCCGTCTACTCGACGTCCGCGTATCCGAGATCGGACTGCGGGTCGCGGACGCGAGTATATACTCGACATCCGTCCGTGTACTCCAAGTACGCCTACACGACGTCCGCGTACTCGAGGTCGGTGAGCGAGTCGCGGACACAAATTATTTCCAGTTTTTAGAACATTTTTACAAAATTTAAAATAGAGACTCGTCTTGTCTGCCTTATCGGCGTACGCGACGACGGTAGTCGAGTGGAGGACACGTCTGTCTTCTCGACGTCCGCGTACTCGACGTCGGTCGGCAGGACGCGGACGCGAGTGTGTACTCGAAGTCCTTCCGTGTACTCGACGTCCGCGTACTCGAGGTCGGTCGGCAGGACGCGGACGTGAGTGTGAACTCGTTGTCCGTGTACTCGACTTCCGCGTACTCGAGGTCGGTCGGCGGGTCGCGGACGCGAGTGTGTACTCGACATCCGTCCGTGTACTCCACGTCGACGTCCGCGTACTCGAGGTCGGTCTACGGTCGCGGACGCGAGTGTGTACTCAAAATCAGAACAGACTCGACAGCCTTTCGAAAAAATTTCTAAGTCCAGAAATCTCGAAATTTTTTCTATGCCCAGAAATCTCGAAATCTTTTCTAAGTCCAGCTTTTAGAAAAATTTTTCTAAGTCCAGATTTTCGAAATTTTTTCTAAGTCCAGAAATCCGTGTACTCCACGTCTGTCCGTCTTCTCGACGTCCGCGTACCTGTGGTCGGCCGGCTGGTCACGGACGCGAGTGTGTACTCGAAGTCCTTTCGTGTACTAGACGTCCGCGTACTCGAGATCGGTCGGCGGGACGCGGACGCGAGTGTGTACTCGACGTCCGTCCGTGTACTCCACGTCCGTCTACTCGACGTCTGCGTACTCCACGTCCGTCTACTCCACAAATTATTTCCAGTTTCAGAAAAAAAATTTTTGTCAGAAAAGGTTGAAATAGAGACTCGTCTAGTCTGCCTTAACGAAGTTGATCGGAGGATCGCGGAGGCGTCCGTGTACTCCACGTTCGTCTGAGATTCGCGGACGCGTCCGCGTACTCGACGTCGGTAGGAGATCCGAGGAGGCGTCCGTGTACTCGACGTCCGTCTGAGGATCGCAGA